CTCAAGCAATATACATGTTTTGGTCCTTTTTGTTATCAAGTATACCAAAACCAAAGCATGCACTTGTCTTAATCATCTCCTCCAGTGATCACATACTTAATCTGTAGTAAGCCATGTCTTAATCCCTGGGAGAAGGAATTAGGATTAATGACAGGATGACCTTTGTGGGCCCAATCTATTACACTAACCAACGTGTAAAGGCCCAGATAAGTCAGTGTTAGTCCCCAGATGTTCAGCCACATTAGGAACCTCCAGGAATTACAGGCTGCTCTTGCCAGAACGCAGCAAATTAATATAAACCTCTGTAGCAACTACAAGGCAATTCATCTTGCCAATGGCTTGAATAAACTTGGAAACAAAATTTTCCGATTAAAGGCCGAGCTAACTGAAAGACCCACTATCACACTACCTCATCAGGACCCCCTCCCCCCGCCCTCCCTCTAGAAGCCCCATAATAGGTACAGAATTCTTTCTTGGAATCGACTCCACCGATCCACCGCCATTGGGCATCAAGGACAGAACACCTGGAGTGGAGCTAAACCCATTGGAGCTAAACCCAGGCTGTGTTCTTCTCTAACCTGAACTTCCAAGTCCGGAGCCCCTTCGGCGCACACCAGTCAACCCCTCCTCATCAGCTCCATCACAATCTCTCACACACCTCCTCACAAACCCTCCCACGCCGCCCTTGCCCCAGTTCGAACCAGCCCTGGTCTGTGTCACCGAGTCCACATTCCCTCTGGGGATACCAAATGATGTTACCCAAGCGGAGGCTTCCCTAGTGAACTCACCGTGGGAGTTGCACTGGCCACCGTGCTAGCTCAAATCAACCGCAACCAACACTCCCACCCACCCCCGACTTCCGGCCCGCGGCCCCGCCCCATTCTCCTTTGCATGGCCACTCTAGGCCCATGAAATTCTGGCGACTCTGGCGACTCGATGGTTCAAAGAACCCTGGCATCCTCTTGCTGATATAAATGGTTGTAAAGGGGCCCACTTCAACTTAGTAAGAGAATACTATCAAAAGTATAGCAAGAACTAAATATACCGGGATAAGGGGAGATTTTAATTCAAAGGCTCCAAGAATTAGAACAGATTGTAGCCTAGTGTTAGTGTAAGGCCACAGCTTTAATGTCACACTGGTAAATGAAAAGTAAACACATAAGAACGAATCAACAATTTGACAGGTGAGTGAAAAAAAAACTCCTTAAACAGGTAATTTATTTTTTGTAGGGGTGTTTATAGACCATTTATAAAAATTAATTATGTGCTCATTTTTATAGGCATATTAGACAAAAATTGTCTATACAAATATACTATACAAAATGTTCACACAAAATGTCCTGTTGAAATTTCAGAAATACTGAGTTGATAACCTTATAAAAATTACCTGGAAAATTGCAGACTATGAAGCGAAGGAAAGAAGACATGGGGCCGGAGAATGGCTCAGCAGTTAAGGGCACAGGCTGCTCTTCCAGGGCACTGGGGGGTTTAACTCCTAGACTGCTTACATCTGTCTGTAAACCCATTCCCAGCAGAGCTGCAGCCCTCTGGCCTCCCTGGGCACTAGGCACATACATACAAAACACCCATGTACATAAAATAAAAAACAAATTAAGAAAGTAAACAGGCTGGTAGGCGTGGTGGCTCACTCCTTTAATCCCAGCACTCAGGAGTTAGAGGCAAGTGGATCTGTGAATTTAAGGCAGTTTATAGAGTGAGTTCCAGACAGCCAGGGGTTGTTACACAGAGAAACCCTGGAAACCTTATCTCAAAAACAAACAAACCAAACAAACAAACAAGAGGAAACACTTCATTCTCAAAATTATTTTTGTTTGTAAAGACAAATGTATTTATCCTAACCTAGTATTTTTCTTTCTTTTCTTTTTTCTTTTTCTTTCTTTTTTTTTTTTTTTACTAACAACAAACAAATACACACAGAGACACTCTTGGTGTATTGTGCTTTGGATGGAGCTCAGTTGTTAGAATGCTTGCCCAGCAGGCACAAAGCTTTTTCTTGGGTAGATCCCCAGCAATTCATAAACTCACCTATAATCCTATCATCAAAGAGGTGGAGGCAGGAGGATCAAAAAAGGATCAGAAATTCAAAGCTACCCTTAGGTACATGGTGAGTTTAAGGCCAGCCGAGGACATGAAACCATATTTCAAATCAATCAATCAATCAGAGGCTGGTGAACTAACACTGTGGGTAAAGTGCAGACATGAGTAGCTGAGGTGGATCCCCAGAACCCATGTAAAAGTGGGGTTTAGTGACATGCTTGTAATCTCAGTACTAGGAGGGGTAGAGACTAGTACACCTGAGGCTTGCTGGCAAGCCAACCTAGCCTAATTGGCTCCTACATCCTAGTCAGAAACTCTGTCTCAGAAAACAAGGGGGGTGGTGTGAGATGCTCAGTGGGTGAAGGCACCTGCCACCATGTCAGAGGACTCAAGTTTGAATCCTGGGATCCACATGGGGGAGAGAACTGACTTCCTAAATATCTTCCTGTGACTTTTACCTGTGTGCCATGGTATATATGTGTACATGCACACATTCACATACACACTCACAAGTTAAATAATGTAATGAAGAATGTAATTTTAAAGAAGAGTAAAAATGAAGTTTTGGGGTGGTCTGAAAGAAAATGGCCCCCAAAGGGAGTGGCACTATTAGGAGGTGTGGCCTTCCTTATTGGAGGAAGTCACTCTGGGGACAGACTCTTGCTCAAGCTTCCCTCAGTGTGAGTCAGTCAACTTCCTGAAAGATGTAGCACTCTCAGCTCCAGCACCACATCTGCCTGTGTGATGCCATGCTCCCTGTCACAGTAAGCATAGCAGCTTACAGCCCTGCTCCAGGGAAAGGCTTCCCCAGTGCATCAGCTCTGCTCTGGCAGGAGAAGGTCTCTCCAATCCAGGCAAAGAAAGGTTTCCCCATTGTAACAGCTCTGCTCCAGCAGGAGAGGGTTTCTCTGGCCAGTTACAGTACTGCAGAGCACAGTGCAGCAACTATGCTGCATCAAGGGAAGGTGTGTGTGTGTGTGTCCCTCCCGTGAAAAGTGTTAGAGACCCCCTCTCAGATCTGCCCAGACTCCGGCACCCAAACTTCATTCAAGAGATTTATTAAGAGAAAAGAATCCAGGAGAGTGGCTGCCTCGGCCAGGGTAGAAGGAGGCAGCTGGACAGCCACAGGCTGGTTGCAGGGCTAAAGTGTGTCTCTGGCTCTGCTCAGGGTGTGCCTCTTTGGCTGGCCCTTTTTCCTTACAGTTGTTACTCCTTTTTATACAGCTGGCAAGGACCTTTCTTTGTTCCCAGACATTTTGTTTTCCCCCAGGACCTCACAAGCCTTCTCCTTCCATCTTGTCAGGGATTCTGAGGAAAATGCCATACAACAGTAGTTACTGGCTGTTCCTCAAGATTTGAAAAGAAATGTACCAATAATCTAAGCTCACAGTGTTACAAGGGACTAAGACATCGTCTGTTCTGGAGCTATTTTGAGTGACCTTGGTCCAGGAACACAACATGGAGTTATGTTGTCCTAAAATTCATGTTCCAATGTGGGAACAGTTTCACAAGGTCTTTTTACAGAACAAAGAAAGTCATAAATCAAGGCAAATTTACACTGGTGAGTGTAAGACCCTCAGAATGAGGAGTCTTCCAGGTTCAGTCGATACCCCAAGTACTCAATGTCCAGTCCAGTTGCTGCAAAACACAAGAGGCTTTAATGAACAGGAAACGTTTGCGTAAACGGGCTCCTCCAGCACGCAGGCTAGAGAGAAGCCCCCTCCCCTGGGCCCAGGTGTTTTTAAAGGCAAACCCACAAGCTTAGGGAGGGGGTGGGACCCTCTGTCCATTGAGTATGTGACCCTTGGAGGCCGATGGTCTGCTATTAGGGTCAACAGACCTTAGGGCCTCAGGGTGTGCTAATTAATTTTGTCTGGGCATACTGGAGTTGCAGCTATCTCTTTGTTTCCTAAGGACCCTATTCACCACCTGCTGACTCACAGGAAAGGAGGGGCAGTGGGAATTCTTCTTATCTCAGGGCCTGGTGAGAGGAAGCTAGCAAATTCCAAGGAACATATATTGGTTAGCTTCCCAGGTCAGACCGTCCTTCATTTAACTTCACTTTTTGGTCTTTCAGTGAGTACTTCCGAGAGAAAGTTACAATGAGTTGTGGAAGTATTTCTATAGGCCCAAGATTCTAAAAGTCTTTTTTTTTTTTTTTTCCCTTTTTCTTTTTTCGAGGCAGGGTTTCTCTGTATTGCTTTGGAACCTGTCCTGGCACTCACTCTGTAGACTCAAACTAACTCACAGAGATCAGCCTGCCTCTGCCTCCCGAGTGCTGGGATTAAAGAAGTGCGCCACCAACGCCAGGCTCTAAAAGGTTCTTATCCATTAATCACAAAAAGATGTTCTAATACAGAGATGTTCTAGAAATAGTCCAAGATAAGGTGACCTTCAACATTCCAGTTTCTCCATATTACTGTAGTGCTATAAGCTCTGCATACACAGCTTCCTTTCTTTTTCTTTTCTTTTTTCTTTCTTTTTTTTTTTTTTTTTTTTTTTTTTACTATTTTATGTATATGAGTGTTTTGTGCGCACACATTCGTGCTTGGTGCCCTAGGAAGTGGTGAGCCTCCATGATAGTGCTGGGAATCGAACCCGGGTCCTTACAACAACAATAAGTGCTTTTAACCACTGAGCCAACTCACCAGCCCCTCCCCCTTTAATGTTTATTTTTAGTACTTATGTTTTGTCTGCAGATATATTTGTGTGTGTGCGCGTGCGTGCGCGTGCTCCCATTCCGTCCCGCCTTAGCTCTGGGCGTTCTGCCCCGCCCCGGGGGGAGGGAGGGTAGTTCCATCTCTATCTCACCGCGTATCCGTCTGGTTTCTCAGAGATGCACTCCGAAGCCTCCACGTTTGTCCCTGCGCTGTCTGTCCGGATCCTCCCAGAGTTGCATGCCCCTCCCTGAGCGCTTGCCTCACCACATGCTGGGTCCGAGGCGACTTCTGCGGAACTCCTGACCATAGACGCATTTCCGGAGGACTGAGTTCACTGTGTCAGTTAGGACTTCCGGTTTCCACTACGGCGTATGGCGGTGAGCTTTGGGAGAAGGCATTCGTGTGGTGAGACCCTGGGTGTGGGACCCCTATAAGTTTCCTCCTGTCCTACATTTTTCAGGAGTTAGGGCGTCCTGCTCGGGAGGCACCAGCAGCCTCAAGCCGGAGAACTCAACGCGCTCCGCGCAGACCTCGGGTCGCCTGCTCGGCTTCCAGTGCCTCAGATCCGCCCCTTCTCAGTCTAGGGCAATCTGCTTGTGACTCTGCCACCAGGGTGCATCCGATAGACAACACTGTGTCGATGAAGCAAAAGAAGAAGAAAATCCCGAACAGGGTCTCTAGGACGAATGGAGACGAAAAGATCTCCGAGAAACCTGCCCTAGACGAAGCTCCCCCGAGTGCTGAAGCCCAGGTAAGGGTGGGATTCCCTGTGAGCTTTCTGGGTACTAGCTAGTCCTGCGAGTGTGGTCTAGGTGTGCGGAATTAAGGCACTGAAGGGATGGGACTGGGGTCTGCGGGGTCCTGATGCCTATGGCACCCATGACCTTCTTTCCATCACAGGCGGAACAACTGGCGAGGGAGCTGGCCTGGTGTGTGGAACAGTTGGAGCTGGGTCTCAAGAAACAGAGACCCACCCCGAAGCAGAGTGAGAGCCCCTTCTTTATAGTTAGGGAAATGTAAACAGTGACAGTGCTGTAGCCTGATGGTATTGTCAGGGGATGGGATTGTTGCTTTTTGTAGGGAGTATTAAGTTACCAGCACCTTATTTTTATCTGCAGAAGAGCAGGCTGTTGGGGCAATCCGAACCTTGCGCAGTGAAAAAACCCCCTTGCCCCGGAAGAGACAGCTGATGCGCTCCTTGTTTGGGGACTACAGAGCTCAAATGGATGCCGAATGGCAGGAAGCTCTGAGGGCTCTAAGGATTGGTGAGGAACGGGGAGTTCTTGGGACTAATAACCTGGGTTCAAATCCTGGATCTGTTATTTAGATCTTAACATTTTGGCTACTTACTGAATCCCTGTGAATCTCATCAGGGAATGACAATATCAACATTATAGGAACATTGTGTAGGCAGTCATCACTGCATGGATATTGTTAATTGTTATTCAGTTCTGACTCTCTGCTCCCCCTTCCTACAGCTACCCATTCAGCCCGGGTACAGCTTGTAGGTGAGACCGCCAGAAAGAAAAATGGGAGGGTCTGCAGGCCTCGCCCAGCAGGAAGAACCAAGGCCACTGTGGACTATACTGATGAAGAATTTCGGTTCAATTTCTTTTAGATTCTCCTACATTGTGGACTAATCATCCTCCTTCAGGATGGTGTGGCCATTTGTCTTGAATATAGGGTCTTTCTAGGAATTCTCTCAGCAGAAGTGGGATTGGTTTGTCCCTAACTGGTGTGTGGACACGAAGCTGCTGGTCAGGGCGAGACTCATGTGGGAACTTCTTAAGGAAATGTTCCTCCTGTCAGAAGAGAGGTGCTTTCTGAACTCCTCTGTGATAAGCCTGAGTGTTGAGTAGGTTGTAGAAAGAAACGGTACTCCAGTCTCTGGGAGTAGCCATTGGTGGTAAGGAAATGTGTAATTATACATGTGTGTAATTATACATGGGTCCCACTTCTGAAAGATTACCCTAATAAATATTTTTTTTAAAGGAATAGGTGATGAGTGGAAGCATGTGATATCTGTGGTAGAGGGAGTGAGATGTGGTACAGCTCTGATGTCAGGGTTTAGGCCTTTGTCCGTGTTGTCTTTTTTTTCTGAGGAGGTTATCATATTCCATGTTTTGTTCTTCAGAGCCAAGGAACTACTTGCGTTAACTTGAATTGAGTCTTAACAGACTGTGTCTTTTTTTTTTTTAAACCTGTATTTATTTGTGTGAGTGTGTATATATGAGCATGCTAGGCACATGTGTGTCGGTCAGAGGGTAACTTCTCAGGGATTAATCTGGGTCTCTAGATTTGGTGGCAGTTGTCTTTGCTCATTAAGCCATTTTGCCAGCCCACACACTGCCTCTTTAGGGATTGACATCAGCACTGTACCCTTTGCTCTACTGAGTTGAGATTTTCAGGTAAACCAGGAATCTTCACACCAGTGTAATCTGGTGTTGCCCAGAGTCAAATCCTAGACGAGATATAATCTGAAGTCCAGCTGTATTTAACATTTTCTATATGAATATTCTGTGGGCAGTTCAAACTCAGAATACCTAATTAGGTCCTGGGTCTCCCTTTCCTTTTTAATCATGGTACTTACTGCCTTGTCTAGTTATTATGCCAGAAACATATGTTATTCTTGATTTCTCTCTTTTTCCAACACTATGTATTCAATAATTAGGCTTAATGTTAGGAGACCGGATTAGTGTGTTTGAGTTTAGAGTTTGGGTTATGATTGGAGGACTAGATGGGTTAGGGTGTTAAGGTTAGCTGAGGGTTAGGGGGGGTTCTGGTCTGGATCTGAGGTTAGGGTTATTGTTAGGATTTATTTTTTAAAAATCTGTCCCTATCTTTCCTACTGGGTTGCTTCATCCAGCTTTAATAGGAGAGGAGGTGCCTAATCTTATTATAACTTAATATACCATGGTTGGCTGATATACATGGGAGGCCTGCCCTTTTCTGAAGAGAAATGGAGGAGGATTAGGGGTAAGGGGGGGAAAAAGGGGAGGTTGAGGGCAGGGACTAGGAGGAGAAGATAAAGGGAGGGGGTATGATTGGGCTGGAAAAAAATTAATTAATTAAAAAAGAATCTGTCCCTGTCAAGATAATCTTAGTATTATATATTGTATAATATTTTTTGTTTGTTTGTTTGTTTGTTTGTTTTTGAGACAGGGTTTCTCTGTGCAACAGCTCTGGATGTCCTAGAACTCTGTAGACCAAGCTGGCCTCAAACTCAGAGCTGGCCTGCTTCTGCTTCCTGAGTGCTGCAATTACAGACCTGCGAAAAACACAGAAGTTTTTGTTTTGTGTTGGAAGAGTCTCACTATTTTCATTTTCCAAACCATGCAACCTAGAAGGTCTGTGTTTTGTAAGGACTCTCTTACTGTTGTAAAGGTGACTCAGGTTCAGAAGAGCCTGATCTGGGCCTAGATACAAAGCCTCCAGTGCAATTTTGCCTTCCCTCTGTATGAACATGGTGCAGAGGGTGCTGGGAATACCATTGTAGCCTCCTTGCTCTGTTGGCTCTCTGTGGCTCATGTTTTTTCTTGTTTGAGGCCCATCAGTCATAGTATGGCATAGTGACTGTCTGAGCCCTTGCCACATCCTGCTTAGAGTGTTGAGATGGAAAGAAACTTCAACATCTTTATCATCTGGGTTGTGCTTTGCTGTATGACCTCACAAAACGTTAACCATGGCTTTGAGGCCTAGTGGCTGGCTGCCCACTGTCCTAGCCAGGCATGACTTACCAGGCTGCTTGCATGAAGTCGGACAGGTTGCTTTGTTGCATCTCACGTACCTCATGACTGCAGCTCTTTTACCTCAAGGAAGAAACTGTTAACCAAATTTCATACATTTCACCTGCAGGATAAGCAGCAATACCAAGGCCTTCTCTAAATGCTAACTGAAACTGTTATTTAAGAAATTAACAGTGCATGCTTTTAATCCCAGCACTCAGGAGGCAGAGGCAGGTGGATCTCTGAGTTAAAGGCCAGCCTGGTCTACAGAGCTAGTTCCTAGACAGCCAAGGATGTTACACAGAGAAACCCTGTCTTGACCCCTCCCCCAAAAAAGAATGCCGTCAAAAGGACTAAACCCTTACAGTGGAGAACACACTCCCTTGTACATTTTTCTTGCTTGCTTGCGTTTGTTTGTTTGTTTGTTTTGACACAGGTTTTCTGTGTAGCCCTGGATGCCCTGGAATTCTGCCCTGTAGACTGGCCTTCAACTCACATTTATCTGCCTCTGCTTCCTGAGTGCTGGGATTAAAGAAAGGCCTGCACCACCCTGCCTGGTTTTTCTTTGTTTATGGGTTCATAGGTGGAAATGCCGGTAGCCTAAAGGTTAGGGCGTACCTTTTCCCTTGATACAAGTGCCTTGAAGGAGCATAAGTAAGTGGGTAAAGCTGGTATGGTGGTTTGGATAAAAACAGCCTCATAGGGAGTGACACTATTAGGAAGGGTGGCCTTGTTAGAGTAGGCATGGCCTTGTTGGAGGAGGTGTGTCACTAGGGGTGGGCTTTAAGGCCTCAGAAGCTCAAGCCTGGACAGTTTGTCACTGCCACTTCCTGCTGCCTGTGGGCCTAGATGTAGAACTCTCAGCTACATCTCCCAGCACCATGTAACCCTGAATGCCACCATTTCCCACCATGATGATAATGAACTAAACCTCTGAGCTGTAAGCCACTCCAATAATGTTTTCCTTCATAAATGGAGTTGCTGTGGTCCTGTTCTCCTCCTTTATGGTGTTTTGAGACAGGGTTTCTCTGTGTAGCTTTGTAGACCAGACTGGCCTCAAACTCACAGAGATCTACCTACCTCTACCTCCTGAGTGCTGGGATTAAATGTGCCTTCTGCTGCCACCACTCCTCCTCCCAAGAAGTAACCCCTAAGTATTTTCTGTTTGTTTTCAGGTGTTTGTTTATTTATTTATTGCTGCTTGTCTTTGGTCATTTCATACTGCAAATCCTTGTTCCTTTCCAGTTCTTAAGTATACAGAGAAGGAAAAAAGAAAGACACAACTTGTGTTATTTTCCTAATCAATTTGGTTTGTATTTAGGGCATCTTTACATGCTCCACTAGAGAGCATCTAAAAGGACCCATGGGTCCATAAAAAAGCCAGGTGTGAAGGAAGGAATTTTCACTTAGCAATAGGTGGGAGTCCCCAACACTGCTGAGTAGTTGTTTCTCCTCCAGGAATCCCAGCACTGAAAGTATAATACAGAACGTAATAACTGTGATGCTATTAGATGTTGTTATCTGTCATCAGTTGAAATGGGAAGAGCTTTGAAATACTTGCAATTCATTCTTTTGAGCTCAATGAAGTTCAAATGATAGGACTGCCAAATGTAATGCCAGCTGAGTAAGTCAGTGCACCAAGATCTTCTTTAAACACAATTAAATTTTGTTTTATGTACCCAAGACACATTAAGCTGCTAAAATGCATGCTTTAAAAATTGAATATGGAATAGCTGTCCTCTGTTTCTCAAGGGGAAAAATGCACTGTTTAAACCTTGCTTATTCATAATAACCCAAATTTTTGGTAGGCTTATGCATTTGGAATTGCTCCAAACCCAGAAGAGGGGAGGAGGGAAAGGGGAAAGAAATTGAGGATCAAGAAGAGGAGAGGAGGACTCCAGGGGCCAACCACCCAGCCATACAGCAAGCCCTGGAGTAATAGTAAAGAAGGGTATATAGAATAAAGCAAGATAAAATCTCAGAGGCAAAAGATAGACAGGATATTTTAAGTGAAGAAAAGCTGGCTAGAAACAAGCCAAGTTAAGGCTGGGCATTCATAAATAAGAATAATTCTCCATGTATTTATTTGGGAACTGGGTGGTGGGCCCCCAAAGAGTAAAGAGTAAAGAATAGAAGCAACCAATTACAGTTGTTAAAATGCTTGCTATAAAGGAAGGCATAAATGAATGGAAATGGCAGGGATGGGTGTTGGAAACATTTCCTTCAGAAGGAAGCAATGTGGCTACTGCAAATAATGGCCAGAAGGAACTATGAGAGCCCTTAGGCCATTAGGAGAGCGTTTTCCGAGGAACACAGATGAGTAGTGTTAAGACCTCCTCCTTTTATCACCACTTCATTTCCAGCTTGGTTTTAGTCTTGAGAACTACCATCCCCCCAGTCTCTGGGAAGCAGAGCAGGTTTAGAGCTCCTTATGGACTCTGTTTCCATAGAACTGTCATCATTTGACCAACATGGTGGCTCCCTGACAACATACCATGAATAGCACTATGTGTGGTCTCAAAACTCACCCAGTCTGAATGTTCTCCAGTGGGAATGGTTTCAATCACTTACAGAAAAGAACCAGTAGAGATGGTCTGACATAACACCTGCCAGAGGTAGTTAGTGACTACTGAGGCACATCAGGGGCTTCTCAAAGGTTAAAGGAAAAGATGAGAAAAAGATGCCAAAAGGAGGATTTGAAAGGCTCAAGCATACTATTGAAGCCTACAAGGCCACATACTCATCATGTATGCCCACTGTTGTATGGATGGATACTCAAAGAGAACCTGAAAGTTTGACCACACAGAAACTTAATTATAAATGCTTGGCTGATAGCTTAGGCTTGTTACTAACTAGCTCTTACATCTTAAACTAACCCATATATTTTTAAAATCTGTGTTTTACAATGTGGCTCAGTACTTATCTTCAGTATGGTAGGCATGTTCATCTTGCTTCTTCCTACATCTCTGGGTGACTCTGCCCTTGTTCATCCCAGCATTCTCTCCTTGTCTGCAAGTCCTGCCTGAACTCTTCCTCACTAGCTATTGGCCATTTGTTTGTTTGTTTATTTATTTATTATCTATACAGTGTTCTGCTGGCATGTATGCCTGCATAGCAGAGGAGGGCACCAGATCACATTATGAAGGTCGTGAGCCACCATGTGGTTCCTGGGAATTGAATTCAGGACCTTTGAAAGGGCCAGAGCTCTTAACCTCTGAGCCATCTCTCCAGCCCCCCATTCAGCACTTTATTAAACCAATGAGAGCAATACACCTTTACAGTGTATAAAAAGACTATTCCACATTTCCCCCTTTTTGTCTAATTAAAAAAAGGAAGGCTTTAACTTTAATATTGTAAAATTATATACAACAAAACAGTTATAAAGTAAGAATTACAGTTATAACATCCAGTCTTTTTGTATTTGGTAAATTTAGAGAAAATACTCTGTCTTATCTTTGTGAATCTAA